ACGCACCACCATGCCCAGCTAATTTTTTGTATTTTTAGTAGAGACGGGGTTTCACCACGTTGACCAGGATGGTCTCAATCTCTTGACCTCGTGATCCACCTGCCTCGGCCTCCCAAAGTGCTGGGATTACAGGCTTGAGCCACTGCACCCTGCTAAATATTTTTTTATTGCACTTTAGGTTCTGGGGTACATGTGCAGATCATGCAGGGTTGTTGCATAGGTACTTACATGACAAGGTGGTTTGCTGCCTCCATCCCCCCATCACCTATATCTGGCATTTCTCACCATGTTATTCTCCCCAACCTCCCCATCCCCCCGCTGTGCCTCCCCTGCCCCCACAACAGACCCCAGTGTGTGATGCTCCCCTCCCTGTGTCCATGTGTTCTCATTGTTCAACACTCACCTATGAGTGAGAACATGCAGTGTTTGGTTTTCTGTTCTTGTGTCAGTTTGCTGAGAATGATGGTTTCCAGATTCATCCATGTCCCTACAAGGGACCCAAACTCATCGTTTTTTTTATGGCTGCTTAGTATTCCATGGTGTATATGTGCCACATTTTCCTTGTCCAGTCTATCATCAGTGGGCATTTGGGTTGGTTCCAGGTCTTTGCTATTATAAACAGCGCTGCAATGAACATACGCGTGCATATGTCTTTATAATAGAACAGTTTATAATCCCAGTAATGGGATTGCTGGATCAAATGGAATTTCTATTTCTAGATCTTTGAGGAATTGCCACGCTGTCTTCCACAATGGTTGAACTAATTTACACTCCCACCAACCGTATAAAAGTTTTCCTATTTCTCCACATCCTCTCTAGCATCTGTTGTCTCCAGATTTTTTGATGATTGCCATTCTAACTGGAATAAGATGGTATCGCATTGTGGTTTTGATTTGCATTTCTCTAGTGACCAGTGATGATGAGCATTTTTTCATATGTTTCTTGGCCTCATATGTATCTTCTTTTAAAAAGTGTCTGTTCATGTCCTTTGCCTATTTTTGAATGGTTTTGTTTGTTTGTTTTTCTTCTGAATCTGTTTTAGTTCTTTGTAGATTCTGGATGCCAACCCTTTAGCCCAGGCTGGAGTGCAATGGTGCAATCTTGGCTCACTGCAATCTCCACGTCCTGGGCTCAAGCGGTTCTTCTGCCTCAGTCTCCCAAGTAGCAGGGATTACAGACTTCTGCCACCATGCCCAGCTGATTTTTGTATTTTTAGTAGAGACAGGGGTTTTGCCATTTTGGCCAGGCTGGTCTCTAACTCCTGGCCTCAGATGATCCACCCACTTTGGCCTCCCAAAGTGCTGGGATTACAGGTGTGAGCCACCATACCTGGCCGAAATGCTAAAATTTTAAATGGCTCTCCCAGAGACCAAACTTTAAAAAATCCCATTTATTTCAGAGCGTCACGATGAACATTATGAAAGGATCGGCGTCTTCACAAAGTGGAAATGCTGTGGGTCCTGTCAGAAGAAGGCTTAGTTGCAGTCTTCTTTATTAGCATGGCTCAAACATTCTAGGGTAGGACTTGAACCAGTGGGCTGCAGTTACAGGGAGAGAGTTGGTTCAGTTTTTCAGAACCCCGAAATGAGCAGTACAGCTGCTCTTAAAGTGCCACTCTGTGTCGTCTGTCGGAGACTTGGGGGGAGGGGTCTCCCTGCTTTGCGAGTAACCTCAGTCAGCCATCTGGCTTGCGGCTCTAGAGCGGAAACTTCGTGCTTCCATGGTTTATTTATTTCTCTTTTTATTTTCTTTTAAAATGCTGTACTTCATGCCAGACACTTTCATGACCGTACATCAGATGTCTTACAACTTACAAATAACCTGCAGTGTTCATATTGCATTCCCGAGGTCTGCCTCTCATTTGAGAATGTTAATTTTCTGTGTAGATTTTCCCCCCAAAATCTAATGCATCAGAGCAATTTTTAGAGTCCTAAAGACTTTTACGGGACTTTTTCACCTTAACTACTCAATAGTTCCAAATGATCTGCAAACAGAGTTCTAACCACTGGGCTATGAGCCATCAGGAGCCAGAAGACAGAGCAAGCAGAGCAGCTAGAATGTAGTTTATCTACAGTCACCAGCAGACTGTGCTGGCCAGGCCGTCTGGACATGCAGGAGATGTGGCAGAAAATAGACAGAAGGCCACCTGGCCAGTTTTCACCATCACTCGGATAACATTTTGCTGCTGTCAGCCAGGGATAGCTCCTTCACCTAATTGCCTCTCTGTGTCTAGGTTCTCTCTGCTAAACTCATCCTGTGGCCCCCTTGCTGTCTCCACTTCACGCAGTCCCCATCTGCAATGATTTAGCCATATCTCTTCATTCACCAAGTACTTAGGGAGCACCTATTCTGTACTTGGCATTGGGCTTGGTGCTTGGGATAGAGTGATGAGCAAAAGAGATATGGTTCCTACCTCCTGGAGCTTAAAGTTTAGTGGGCAAGACAAATAAATCCCACTTGTAAGTTGTCATTACAGTCCTATCAAGGGAAATATGAGAGATGTAGATAGAGGAGCTAACTTAGATGGGGGTGAGTGGGGCAGGGCTGAGGGTGTGCTTCATTGCCATGTGAACTTGAAGCTGAGGCCAAAAGGTGGGAGCCCGGAGTATAAAATAGTCACCATCATCTAAGTTAAATACACTCACAGTGCTTTCATAGTTAATTTTGGGTCTGTGTCCAAGATAGAACCAGAGTGCTCTCTCCAAGTTCTTCCTGGACATTCTAGAAATACAGTCTTTTCTTCCTGGATTCCTGGTCCATATTTCCATTTTCTTCATGGCTCTCTCTATCACGGATTTTTTGTCTTAATTTCTTCTTACTAGACTCACTGCCCAGTGTGAGTGGCCATGTGGGCAAGTTTACCTCAGCTAGTCTTTGAATTTCTCACCTAACTGTTGTCCTCAGACCAGCCTGTCTGCTCCTTTTCTCTGAGTCAATCCCTATGCTCCACCAGTTGGAGGTTTCTGTGTGAGGCTCTACCCTTTCATCAGATCCATCTGCAGAGAGTGAGTGCTGTTGTAATGTCGAAAGATCTGTAAGAAGCATTCAGAAGAAGGATGGACTTTGAGGTTATTCAAATCTGAATTCAGATCATGACTATTAGATGTGTGATCTGACCGCAGTTTGTTGGATCTTTTCCAACCTCACTGTCATTACCTGTAAAGTTATTGTTGGTGTGGACTAGAAATAATGTGTGCCAACTAGCTGGCACATAGTTGGCATTCAGTGAAAGCAGCCACCCCTTGACTGAGCTAGGAGGTAAAAGAACAGCTTGCAATAATTTTGGAACAGCAACTGAAGATTGGGTTTGGAGAAAATTTCCACACACGTTCTTTATGCTCTGTATGACTGTGATGCCCCATGATTTGCAGGCAGAAGACAAGGCAGACGTGTTGAATAAGGAGCTCCTCTTGACCAAACAGAGGCTGGTGGAGACTGAAGAAGAGAAGAGGAAGCAAGAGGAAGAGACAGCCCAGGTAAAAGAAATATATAGGCTTTTCTTTACATAGGTATGTTGGTAGGGAACTGATTAATACTATAAAAAAGAAGGAAAGTTAAATTTCTTCCAAATCAAAGGTGATGTTAAAGCAGTAATGAAAGTAGTTGAGTCTACTTACTCAACATTTCCATCCGACGTTTCTGACATTTTTTCTGAAGGGTGTTAAAAGAGGAGGCAGGGATTTCTACCCTTGAACAGCTTTTAGGAATTTGCCTTACCGAGATATTTAGCAAGAGCATTGAGCTTTCTCTAGGTTTAGTAACTTGGAATTCTGATCCAAGAGCTTTCTTTGACAAACCTGCAAATTTTGTGTTGTATCTCCAAGATAATTGACTTCTCTGAAGTAGTTTATGAGCGCTGTTAACGGAAAGCCTACAGAGATCTCTGCTGGGAGTTGCCACACCGCCCCTGCCTCAATCAGTCACACTTCATTTTCCTGATTCACACCTCAAGGAGCATCAGTATTCCTGGCAAAGCTTTCAAACCTATTTCCTGGGGGGATATAAAGAAACCTTTTGGGAACCAGCCTTGAAGTTAGCACCCTACACTCGTCATGGGAGCTGTAAGGCTAACTAGCCGGAAAATGCCACCAGTGCAGGGCAGTACAGGACAGGGGCAGAGAGGCCTGTTGGCCCAAAGAATTGGAGCCTCCAGCTTCCCCAAGGAAGAACATGCTCCTTCATCAGTGATTTCTACCCCTGTCAGTCCCAGCCAGGGGCCTGACAGATTAGATTATGAGTCAGAGTATCTTCACAAACAATTGAAGTCTTCTGCCAAGAGTGTGTTTGAATTTTACTAATACAGCTAACTTGTATAAAGTGAGGAAGCATCTCAAACCCTGATTAACTTATTTTAATGAGTTTCATTCTGAGACATCAGTAATACTAAATTTAAAACACAGCATAAAGCATTTCAAAAATCTACATCCAAGCAACCAGAAAAAAAGTTCCACTAAAGTTACATGTGGAGGAATGTGTCATTTAGCACCTTCCAGACTTTATGAAAAGTGTTCCGTGATTTCTTTTTCTTTGCAATTTGATTAAATAAGACTTTGGCATTTACAGTGGCCCAAGAGTGTGTGTGTGTGTGTGTGTGTGTGTGTGTGTGTGTGTGTGTGTGTGTGTATGTGTATGTGTGTGTGTTATATACACACACTCACACACATATTTTTTAACCTCAAAAATTTTCAGGGGCTGATTACCCAGTTTTAGATTATTTAGGTTCCTTGCTGGGTTTTGTTTTTTCTTTAGTTTCTGCTATCTTTGGGCCACTCAAGCTACTTTAGATAAGGTATAAAAGCTCTTGGCAAATGAATTTAGCCCAGGCTCTACCTGCTCCATGGTTCCATAGACATATACTAGCCCTTAGGCAATTGATACCTAAAATAGGAAGGAACACTCACCTAGTAAGTGGCAAAAACAATGCAGCCGGGCGTGGTGGCTCACGCCTGTAATCCAAGCACTTTGGAGGCCAAGGCGGGTGGATCACAAGAGGTCAGGAGTTCAAGACCAGCCTGACCAACATGGTGAAACCCCGTCTTGAAAAAAAAAAAAAAAAAAAGAACAATGCAAGATGCTTTGCACTCTCTTGATTTTCTCCTATACCTAGAATTCTAGAGCTGCTGGGCCACAAAAATAATTGTGGTTACAACTATAGCATTCATATTTAACATTTCAGTGACTAACAACCACCTGCCATTATGTGTCACTTAAGCTCCTTCTAAAGTCAGTTTCTTTAGTCCCCAAATCTCCTGTCCTTCTCAAAAGCTCTGATCTTCCTTCCTCCATCTTTTCTAACTCCAATCCCCAAAGCCTCTTGTTTTTGCCTTCAGAGGTAACAGCAGTAAAGGTAGACTATAAATAAGGAAGCCTACAATGATTTTTTTTCAGTAATTTATAACATCAAGAGTAACAAATTGAGCATGCAGTGTTGCCTTGATGTTTTGTTTTAGACTCTTATAAGGATAAAGGTAGCTTCTGAATGGATACTTATATAGCAATGTGTTTAGAAGTAGCAACCATAAGCAGTTTTATAATTGGGGTTGCTCATATGTCTCATACTTTACAGGAAAGAAAGTAAGGTTTCTGCATCTCTGGAGATGATTGAGTTTTTCAAATTATCAAGATGCAGCTTCCATGAAAATAATTTATATAGTTATTGTTACCATTGTTACTATGAATCAGAAAGACTTTTGTTTGTGAAAATGTATTAAGATTTTGGCTGAATCCTGATGTTTCTCATTCTATTCTTTTTAGCTAAAAGAAGTCTTCAGGAAACAGCTAGAGAAGGCAGAATACGAAATAAAGAAGACTACAGCTATTATTGCTGAGTATAAACAGGTAATGTACTAGTTCTAGTTTGCTGCTATAAAAGTAATTTTTTTTTTTTTTATTATTGCTTGAGGCCAGGAGTTTGAGACTAGCCTGAGCAACACAGCAGGACCCATCTCTACAAAGAAAAAAAAAAAATTAATTAGCCAGACATAGTGGCATGTGCCTGTAGTCCCAGCTACCTGAGAGGCTGAGGCAGGAGGATCACTTGAGCCCAGGAGTTTGAGGCTGCAGCGAACTATGATTGCACCACTGCACTCCAGCCTGGGCAACAGAGCAAGACCCTGTCTCTAAAAATATAAAAATAAAAAAGTAATTATTTTGTTGTTGTTTTTCTTTGGGGAAGAAATATTTTTGTTTTTAAAGTTTCCAGAATAGTTTTCCAGATTTATTAAATTTGGTGACTCACTCTCTGCTTTGAAGCAGACTGTGGTTAGACATACTTATTACTTATAGCTTATTACTCATAACTGATAATTTGGGATGTCTAACTGACCAAAACAATCTGTTGGTTGTTTATAATGTCTGGTAGATTTAGAGGAATGGAAAACCTTTTGATGATTATTGAAATCCTGTTTCTGCCTCACTCAGAAGCTAATTTCCAGTAGATCACACTTGTAACATTTGCCTTTTTGCAAAATTTGGTCTTTGTATTAAACAGTAGTAGCTCGGGGATCAGTGTGTCCGTTGCTATCATAGTACAGAATGTCATAGACACTCTTTTTCCCACATGGCTAGGTGGCCTTCCCCTTTGCAGGCCAATGCCAGCAGGAAGCTTTCTGTGTGAACCTTAAGATGCTTTTAACAAAGGACTTACCTTCTTGAGGATGTTTCTGGCCCCCATTACCAGAGTGGTCTCAGAAAGCCCTCCTTCTGGGTATCCACCGGTATCTGCCTATCCTTCCTGTTGGCTGGACATGGCAAGGACTCCTCTCATTGCTGAGATACCCTGAATGAACTGTTCAAGTTCCAGGTTTCTAGAATTAATTAAAGTACCAGATGCCATCATCTGATCTAAGGATCTCCCTGGGGTCTTCCACTTCACATAGGTTTCTGAAGTGTGATACTTACTTTTTTTAAAAATGTGGTTTTTTTTGCTTATAAATTAAATTTGTGTTCTTGTGGAAAATTAGAATAGTGCAGAGAAGGACAAAGAAAACAAATCTCCCTTAATCTTTCTAGTAAGAGATATTCATTGCAGTATATTGAATATGCATTGTTGCTATACAAGTAATGCTTTATAAATAAATGTATTATATATCAGTAGGAAGAATTGTATCATTTATCCTTTCTTTTTGTAACTAGCTTTAGTTCACTTAATATAGTATGAACATCTTTCCATAAGGAATCCGCATATTCATGGAAGATTGAGAAATAAAACTTTAGAGCTATTTTACTCTTCTATGATAATCAACATGTTTATTTAATGCCTGCTCTCTGTGAGGCTTAATACTTTGACAGACAAAGTATTAAGACAGAGATGAATGAATTCAATTTTTCTTCTCTAGAAGCTTATCATATAACATGGAGATAATACCGATATAGAAATAAGAGGAAAGGAAACTTATTACATGTGGGAAATGAAACCTTTTGAGCTGTGCTTCCAAGGCTAGCTAAGACTTGGATCTCTGGAGTTGAAGAATAAGATAGAAATGGTAGGAAGAGGGAACAGGATGTGCGAAGGCATGAAAGTAGATTAGCGAAGAGAAAAGTAATCATTTGGTGAGTGATTGCAGTGCAAAAGAGAAGCAAAGGGACGTTAGGGTCCAGATCAAGGAAAGTCTTCAGGGCGAGGCTCGGGACCTTGTATTTTATTTTGTTTGTGGTAGGATCTTTTTGAGCAGGAAAGTGGCATAAACAAGGACATATTTTTGGTACTAATCTGTCGCAGTGAGAAATGTGGAACCAAGGAGACAGAACACGAACACCAGAGTCCAAGTAAGAAGAACCAGGTCCCTGAACTAAAAAATAATGAAAATAGACAAAAGAGAGACACAAAAGATAGTTGTTGTTGTTGTTATTATTATTATTATTATTATTGTTTGCTAGACAAGAGAAAACACTGAAGGTGGTCCTCAGATGTTGAATGTGGGCATCTGGAGAAGAGGTGGTAAACACTAACTGATACCAGGAACATTAAAGGCTCTGTGCTCTGGAATTTGCCATCACTACAAATGCGTGTTCTTCGTTGCCACATTATGTCATGGGTAGCCACCAAATGCCGCACTCTTCAAACAGTAATCCTTGGGACTATTCTCGAATATTATCTGGCAAGCCCTTGAAGTAATGCAAAAGGCAACAGACCTATCTGTTTGAAGATAAGTAGGATATAAGACACAATCTGAATGCATTTTATAGTTGGAATTGGCGATTGCTGGGTCTGTGTCATAATGTTTCGGTTTATTTAAAAGGGTTTAAGGTTCGCAAAATCTACCAGGGTGATCACTCTCTTTCGTTTTGCTTTGTTTTGTTTTTTTTGAGACGGAGTCTCGCTCTGTCACCCAGGCTGGAGTGCAGTGGTGTGACCTCAGCTCACTGCAACCTCTGCCTCCCAGGTTCCAGCGATTGTCCTACCTCAGCCTCCCAAGTAGCTGGGACTACAGGTGTGTGCCACCATGCCCAGCTAATTTTTGTATTTTTAGTAGAGACGGAATTTCACTATGTTGGCCAGGTTGATCTCGAACTCCTGACCTCAGGTGATCTACCTGCCTCAGCCTCCCAAAGTGCTGGGATTACAGGCATGAGCCACTGCACCCAGCCAATCTCTTCTTTTTAACATCAGTCAATCCAGTCCTACTAATGCTTCTTCCGGTTTGGATCTGGAGAAATTGGAATGAAACCCAACAAACTAAACTCAGCAGGCAAGCGCCCTCATCTCCAGAGCTATTTTTGAGTAGATAGGGATTTTGTTTTAATGTCTGTTTTGACAATAGAGGTAGACCATATATGTTTTTGGCCAGAATTATACTTTAAAATTTCACATCCTCTGTTTTTTCATCCTTTTTTCTTTTTCTATTTTTTTTTTTCTTTTTTTTGAGACAAGGTCTTCCTCTGTCACCCAGGCTGGAGTGCAGTGGCCTCAGCACAGCTCACTGCAATCTTGACCTCCTAGGCTTAAGCGATCCTCCCACCTTTCATCTATTTTTCTAAAATAAAAGATTCTTACTTCAGGCAATGGATTAGAACATCCAATACTTATTTATCCAGATTTCTTTCCTTTTTCTTTTTTTTTTTTAAATTGAGATGGAGTCTTACTTTGTTGCCAGGCTGGAGTGTGATGGCGCGATCTCGGCTCACAACCTCTGCCTCCCGGGTTCAAGCAATTCTCTTGCCTCAGTCTCCCGAGTAGCTGGGACTACAGGCACACACCACTATGCCCAGCTAATTTTTGTATTTTTAGTAGAGACAGGGTTTCACTAGATGTTGGCCAAGATGGTCTCGATCTCTGGACCTCATGATTTGCCCGCCTCGGCCTCCCAAAGTGCTGGGATTACAGGCATAAGCCACCGCACCTGGCCATGAAAGCACCTATTTCTACCATTTCTGATATTTGCTAGCACCTTATTTCAGAATCAATAATAATAGATTTTATTTAATGTACACTTACTATTGTCCAGGTGCTATGCTAACCCCTTTACATCCTTTTTTTCTACTTCACTGCTAGAGCACAGCACTTTTGAATCATGAGGAAACTGAGTCTTAGAAAGATTAATAACTTTGCCTAAGCTCACAAAGCCAGAAAGAAATAGAACTGGCCTGCCTTAAACTCACATTTAACTCCAGCAGCTAAGCTTTTAGTTTCTATGCTCTGTTGCCAAACCTACTTAATAAGAGTTTGAGTCTGTATTATTTTCTCTATCCACTCTGCCACTTCTTTTTCTTTCCTTTTTTTTTTTNGATCTCGGCTCACTGCAACCTCCGCCTCTTGGGTTCAAGCGATTCTCCTGCTTCAGCCTCCTGAATGGCTTGGATTACAGGCATGCGCCACCACGTCTGGCTAATTTTTTGTATTTTTAGTAGAGACAGCGTTTCGCTATGTTGGTCAGGCTGGTCTTGAACTCCTGACCTCAGGTGATCCACCTGCCTCAGCCTCTCAAAATGCTGTGATTACAGGTGTGAGCCACCATATCTGGCCCACTCTGCCACTTCTTAAGGAAACTTTCGTGATTGAAAACCGCTTCTGTGACAGTAGACAGGAGATATTTCTGTCTAGAATTCTTTTCATCAAGATTTTCTCAGCATACTAACTTGTACAAAGTGAATACTAAACAAAGATTCCATAGGTTGATTCCAAAAATGAGGCCGGGAATTCAAGCAGTCACAGAAGGCTAGTGACAGAAAGAAAACAAATCTACCCCCTGTATATTTCTACTAATTAAGGTGCAGTGTGCTTTACACATGGAACACTCCGGCCATCTGCTGCTCATTTCAGAAATGACTGGCATTTGCAGTGCTATTCATTTGCAGAATTCCTTCTAGGATCAGATATGACGGAGTAACATACGAATTGATAGGTAGCTATGTGTACATGCTGCAAGAGTTGTTCTATTTTTTAGTAAAAGACTTTTCTCACCCTTAGATCTGTTCACAGTTGAGTACCAGGCTGGAGAAACAGCAAGCAGCCAGCAAGGAGGAGCTGGAAGTGGTAAAGGTAAGGAGTGAAATCATCCTGTGATGAAATTTCTTCCAAAGTCACACAGCTTGTAAGTACCTGAAAGAACCCCCAAACCACAATTTTGTATTAAAGGATTTATTAATAGGAATTATGGAGACTAGGATCTCTCTCTTCCAACCAGGTGTGACTGTCTTCCCTCCCAGCAGAAAGGTTATGATGCTCCCATAAATCATATGGACTGTCAGAGGCAGGTAACATGAAAGGTGGTAGGATTTGACATTGTCGCAAAGAGGTGCTGGAGTTTGAGATGAGCCATGTAGGTTTCTTGGGCAGTGTGAACCTGAGAACCCTCAGAAGCCCATATCTGATTGAACTTGAATTGACCTGGCTTCAGTATGGGACTCAGTAGGATCATCCCATCACTCTCTTTAAAAGTAAACACCATGGGCAATATAGAACTTAGCAGGAAAACGTGTGTTGGGTAACTGATTCTTGCACTAAATTTTTAGAGGTTTATTTTTAAAGAAAACCAGTGGCGTTTGTTTACTTGCTGCCCCCTGGTGGTAAAACACATTATGTTGCTGCTCTATGTGAAAAAACATGGTAGGGTGTGGTGGCTCAAGCCTGTAATCCCAGCATTTTGGGAGGCTGAGGCAGGCGGATCACGAAGTCAAGAGATCGAGACCATCCTGGCCAATATGGAGAAACCCTGTCTCTACTAAAAATACAAAAATTAGCTGGGTGTGGTGGCTCGTGCCTGTAATCCCAGCTACTCAGGAGGCTGAGGCAGGAGAATTGCTTGAACCCAGGAGGTGGAGGTTGCAGTGAGCCGAGATCACACCATCACACTCCAGACTGAGTGACAGAGTGACAGTCTGTCTCAAAAAAAAAAAAAAATTCCTGTAGGACAAGTTATGTACACATGCAAATGAAGAACTTAGGAAGCAGTTCAAGGGAGCTAAATTGGGCTGGGCTCACGCCTGTAATCCCAACACTTTGGCAGGCTAAAGTGGGCAGATCACCTGAGGTCAGGAGTTTGAGACCAGTCTGGCCAACACAGTGAAAACCCCTCTCTACTAAAAATAACAAAAAATAGCCAGGCGTAGTGGTTCATTTCTGTAACCCCAGCTACTGTAGAGGCTGATACGCAACAATCACTTGAACCCAGGAGGTGGAGGTTGCAGTGAGCTGAGATCACACCACTGCACTCCAGTCTGGGCAGCAGAGTGAGACTCCATTTCAAAAAATAAAAAATAAAAGTGGATCACACTGACAATCAGAGTAGTAGAGAAAGCAACATTGTGAGAACTATAGACCAAAAAACGCTTTATGGAGAAGGTTGGACTAACGCAGCATGGATAGAAATTAGAGAGAAATGTTTAGAAAGAACATTGTAGGAGAAATGATGTGAAAGAAGACCCAGACATAGGAATGAGTATTTCAGTGTCTCATTACAGAGACTGATGTGATTAGAATATGTATTAAGGAACAGAAGAAAATAGTGGCAAAGTAGGTGAGACTACCTAATGAAAGGTCATGACATTCAGGAAGAGGAACGTAAACTTTTCTTAGCCAGAATAAAGAAGAAGAACTAGGCTCACGCCTGTCATTCCAACACTCTGCCCAGGCTTAGGTGGGTGGATCACTTGAGTTCAGGAGTTGACCAGCCTGGGCAACTTGGTGAAACCCTATCTCTACAAAAAATACAAAGATTAGCTGGATGTGGTAGCATGCACCTGTAGTCCCAGCTCCTCAGAAGGCTGAGGTGGGAGGATCACTTGAGCCCAGGAGGCTGAAGCTGCAGTGAGCTGTGAGCGTGCCTCTGCACTCCAGCTTGGGTGACAGTGAGACCCTGGTACAAAATTTAAATAAAAAAAAAAAAAAAAAAAAAAAAAAAAAAAAAAAAAAAAAAAAAAAAAAAAAAGACACTATATCTTCTTTTTTGATTGATGATGAGGCTGAAAACAGTTAATTCATTTGATCGATGTTCCACAGCTAGTAGAACCAGAATTTAAAGCCAGGAAGTCAGACTCTAAAGTCAGTAACGTTAGCTGGGAGACTGTACTGCCTCCCCTCTCTCTAGTGCTTCTTCCTGTCTCGTTGGGTGTGATAGCGTTTGGTTTTTCCAGTTTCCTGTGATAATCTTCTTTTGTCACGATCACCCCCCAGTTCATTCTTTACGCTATAATCAGAATGAATATTCCCAAATATAAGGTGATATTTGACTCTTACTCTGTGTATCAATTTAGAATTAAATTGGCCACATATAGAAAACCCAAAATAACACTAGCTTAAACATAAAAGGTGTTGATTATTTTACATAAAAGCAGTCTAGGACTAGAAAGGTCGATCCTTGATGTCATTAGTCCCAAGCTAATCAGTCATTAGTGACCCACATCTTCATGTGGACTTCTATCCTAAGGGTCACCTAAAAACCAATCCTTTCAACTAGAGCTCCCGCCATCACACCCACACTCTATGGCAGAATTTTAGTCCAAAAGGAGATGCAAGATATAAAGGCCTCATTCCCCTGGGTGAGCTCTTTCTAAGCAGCCTTCTGAGAAGCTCCCCTCTACACTTCTGCTTACGTAGCAGCTTTGAAGCAATTTACCTAGACACACTGTCAGCTGAAATAAACTCAGGGTCTGTTCCTAAAGGAGAAGTGGATACTGGGTGAGAATCAGTAGTACCCACCACACTTTGGCAGGTCTGCCAGACTGCAGCTCTTCAAACTTACTGCTCTATCTTTGACATGTAGCACAGGGCTTGATAGAGTAAATGAATACATGTTCCACAGGATAAAATCACAATTTGGCAGTGTGGTATTTAAAGACCTTTATGACCTGGCAGAGGGATCTCTCATCTTACTTGTTGCTATATCACTTACTGTCTGCTTAAGCCATTTTGAATTCTTTGAAGTTATCTGAAGGAACTTTGCACATGGTGGTGGGCTCTTTGCTGAAATGTCATCCTCCCTCCCTCTCATGTGGTTCAGCCTAATAAAATTACTTAGCCAGCTTTGTAAACTTTTAAGACTCAGATCAAAAGCTATTTCTTTAACATTTTTAGTCAACAAATATTTAGTCAATGGTAAACACACAACAAATATTTACAATATGCCTATACTGGCCTAATTATTCTCAGAGGTTCTTAAGAGAGTGACAAGGTTTGGTTTTTACATGTCTAACGAATATTAATGAACAGGAATATCAGGAGAAGATTACGGATGTGATGAGAAGGAAGCCAGTGAGGACTGAGAAGGTGACCCTTAGGGATGCAGGCCTGGGATGGGAAGAGCTCAGAGACGTCAGAGGAAGAAATTAATGGGATACAAGCTGGACATGGGATGAAAGAGGAGCTAATGAAAAGATGACCCAAAGTCTTCAGGCCCAAATGGTGGAGACATGCCATTTGGGATGTGGCAAACGTGTGGTGGAAAGTTGCTTTCCGTGTGTGAAGAGAGGAGGATGGGCACAGTGAGGGACACATGGAGCTTGTCGCAGTAGGACACCAAAGTAGAAACAGTGTGTAATATCTTTTATCTCTACTGAATCATTTTTTATTTTATTTTATCTCTAATGAATTATTATTATTTTTCCAACCCCAAGAGGGCTTCCGTAATGAATTATTTTTGAAGATATTTTAAGAAAACAACAGCACTATTATCTGGAAAAGAGTTGCTGTTGTTCAGTGCTGTGGGCCCACTTGGCAATCTCGGCATGTGGTAGTTACTTACATTCCTTTAAACAGTAGGGTCCTCTTTACTTAAACCTCAACAACAGGACACGTACTTTGTTGCAAGCATAGATTTAGGTTAGTCATGATGGCCTTCCTCAGTCTACGACAGGCAAGTGACTTAAACTCCGAGTTTCTTTCTTTATGAAATGGGGTGATGATAGTGCTTACTCGTACAGTTGCTCTAGGACTAAGTGAAATGCTACAAGTAGAGCATTTGGTGTGGGGCTTGGCATCTAGTAAGAGTGATGATAGCACAAAATTTCTGGAACAGATTTCAAAGAGATGCTACAATACTTTCCATTTCTAGGGTATTTCTAGATATGCTTTAGGAAAAAGGAGCACCTGTCTTGGATAGTTGGGTTTGGGCTGACTGCCGTGATTTTGATTGCAGCACAAGAAAATTAATTTCCCTTCAGAAATGGGCCTGCATTTGACGACAGTCAGCAGCATCTAGAAAGTCATATCTTGTTTCAGAAAGTGATTTTGCCTGTGGCATACAGCTTGATGTTGGTCACCTCTTTTGCGTACTTTAGGGTAAAATGATGGCATGCAAACACTGCAGTGACATTTTCAGCAAGGAGGGCGCTTTAAAACTAGCAGCTGCCAGCAGAGAGGACCAAGGAATTGAAACGGATGATGAGAAGGACTCACTTAAGAAGCAGCTGAGAGAGATGGAGCTGGAACTGGCACAAACCAAGCTGCAGCTGGTGGAGGCCAAGTGTAAAATTCAGGTTGGTGATCTGATAAAAGAACAAGAAGACAGAATAAACAGTTAGTGGTCCAGGATACTCTAGTACTTCAGAATATACCTATCTAGGTCAGAATCGTGTGATTTATGCATTTGCTATCTACTAATGTGTCCCAAATAATCACATTTTATATCATGTATTCTTAACACTGATATAAACAAATATATAATTTTAAATGAAATTTTAATAACTAAAATTCTATCTTATGAGAACTTAATTCAGCATATGCTTTTTGTGTTTTTTACCCTGAGTTTTTTTGCTTACATCCTTTCTCATAGAATTTGGTCACTTCAGTGACTGATCCTGAAAATGAAAAATCAAACCCACTCTGCTGTCCCTACCCTGAGAGTCACGCATTGGCTGACACCCGTTCTTTTCTTTGGAGCTTCTTTTTATCTTTAGCTCATTTTGTCAAACCCCTTTCCCCGTTATCTTTCTCCATATTGGAGCATAATATAATTAGAAATAGTCCTGGCTTCTGATGGACTCTCCTTCATTTTCCCAGTGATCCCTGCCAGTGGCCTGGCTGCCATGTCGCCAGCCTCCACCACATCAGCCAGCTTCCACCAGGTGTCTGCTCTGACCTTGGACATTCTTAGGGCAAAGCCTATTTCTTTGGAACTAGAACTCATTATGCTTATACTATCAGTAAAAATTCATGCATATGTTTACATTTATTTGTGGGTATTTTTTTGGTTTTTTTAAGACAGAGTCTCACTCTGTTGCCCAAGCTGGAGTGCAGTGGCGCAGTCTCGGCTCACTGCAACCTCTGCTTCCTGGGCTCAAGCAATTCTCTTGCCTCAGCCTCCCGAGTAGCTGGGACGACAGGCACACACCAGCAAACCCAGCTAATTTTTGTATTTTTAGTAGAGACGGGGTATCACCATATTGGCCAGGATGGTCTCAATCTCTTGACCTCGTGATCCAACCACCTCGGCCTCCCAAAGTGCTGGAATTACAGGCGTGAGCCACTGCACCCAGCCTATTTGTGGTTTTTAAACCTGTTATCTTGGGCTACAACCTAAACCTAAATTTGGACCTAACTTGCAGGGGAAAAAAAGAATAAAATGAGAGAGTTTTCTTTCACTATTGAGAGAAATCACAGATTCTAGTTTTTTGATAAATCTTTTAACTCTCAACTTTATCCTTTTATTAAGAAGCCAATTAAATCTCTCCTGGGTTTTGTGGGAGGAAGACTGGTAGCACGTACCTTGGGACTCCAAAAAGCTATACGCTATTATTTATTTATTTGGCAGAGATAAAACATTTATTTAATTCAGATGATTTTCTTGCATTAATTAGGAACTTGAACATCAGAGAGGAGCTCTTATGAATGAAATCCAAGCTGCAAAAAACTCTTGGTTTAGCAAAACCCTGAACTCTATCAAAACGGCCACGGGCACCCAGCCATTGCAGCCACCACCAGTCACCCAGCCACCCAAGGAGAGCACATAGTTCCAGCCTTACCAAGCACAAGAGCACAATGATCAAGCAGTGGAAACCTGGGAGGATTCTTCCTGGTGTCCCTTTGAAGGAAAGTCAAGGAGGCCAGAAAACAAGCCAGAATCTTTCAGTAGCTCTCACTCTTTCTTGTATGACACTTTTCAAAGGGATGTTATTTAAACTGACCTGTTCTATGTTGAATACCTATTTTCCAGCTTCTTCATGGAAGGCCATGTTCAGATTCATCATAGTATGACACATTATTTTGTATGCCTGATGTTTAGTTGGAAATAAGTAATTCGGAACTAAATGCTTTTTTATTTAGAGCTCAATTAATTAATTCATAACTATTTTTATCTTATATAAAATGGAGACATCTTGTTATTCCAAGGTTGAAGTGATAGGAAGATCTTTGTCACAGGAAAAAAAATTGAAACCTAATCCTCTTAACTTTTCAGGATTTATTCAGATAAAGCACACTGTGGGGCCAGGCATGACCACTCTCAGGTTTCCTCCTGAGCCTGATTCCCAGGGGAGTCATAATCCTCTCCAAAGGAAAGAACCAATCAGTGATGATCATAGGTTTACTTTTGTTTTCTGTTCGGTACATCTTGAAATGAAGTGCCAGGAATAGATGGGCTATTCAGAATACACACTAGGTAAATGGAACTGAGATTTTAATAAGCATAGGTTAGAATCATTTGGTCTGTGGTATTCTAACAGATCCTGTTAAGAACTCCACATGGGACTTACAAGTTCCTAAGTATGCCTAAGTATAGACACAGATGGGACTTCTGACAATTTTAAAGTTAAACGTGGATAGTACAACTTACACACTTAGGCGGCCTTCACCAGAGACGCCTAATAAGGCCCAGGATCAGCCATTGTGCTGAATATAGTGGAATACAGAACCAGGGACAGAGTATTTCCTTTAATGTTGATATATACTTGCTAAGGAAACACTAACATACTGCAACTTTGTTATAGGACATAGTACTGAAACAGGAAATAGAGGTCAGCCTCACAGCATCTTAGTTTAATGTTGGGCAACTTTTTCTGATTTCTGTAGTTCCCTGAAAGTGTGTCTTTCATACCCACAGATAAAGAGATACAAATGCATTTGTAACGTTTTTGATTGAATATAAAACCTTCAGAGAAATACTTATCTCATGGAAAGGTAAAGTTACTGTTTAAAAATTAGTGGAAATATTTTATCAATTATATTTAACATGCCTATAAAAATAGTCCTTGCAGGAAATTATTTGATAAGAGCGAAACTATTTTTATTTTATAAGCTATTTTGGAGGCCTCTGATCCTTTCACATCAACCAAACTACCATTAGGTATGTACAATAACATTTGTTGATATTCATCATTGCCCTCATTGTTGAACACATTATTTGCAAAGGATCTTAAACTCTGTAGTGCCAGAATGATTCTCATCTGTGCCATATGTTGCAATTAAAAGTAACACACTCTTAGAAGTAAGAATCAAATAAGAGCATCTCTACCCAAGAAGGATGCACCAAGTTGCTCCCAGTGGGTCTTTTCCTCTAAATGGTCTTTTATGTTCTAAAAAGTGAAATCCCCTTTATCTGCGTTTATATCATCTACAGCCCATAAAACTGATGTGATTGTTATCTGTTATACTCATCAGATAATACTCTTCTTACATGAATCTTTCATTGTTCTGACATCTTTCATTACAAAATTTGTTTTCTTCTTACCAAAAAGGAACATAACCCAGCATTCCACGTGTCTATGTTGAAATTAATATTCTCTACGTGGTGGTCTAGATAAGCTAACTTTTTTTTTTTGTTTTGTAAAATATAATAGCTAGAAAATGCTATCTTGGCACTTGTTTTTGTAAATCATTTAATATAGGCTGTTAGCTTTATTGGTACTTTATGCTATAATTCCAAGAAGCCCCGTGCAGTTGCCTTATCAAATTGCCAGCTAAATTAAAGACGCTCTTTTGTGTTGTGAATTTCATCATTCTGTACAGAGCTTGTTTCAACTTAGAAAAATAAGTACATTCCACAGAATGCCTAAAGCATAATTTCCTTTAAAGAATAGTAGGTGAGGGAGAACCATAATGGCCCTAGGTCAATTGCTGATCTGGAGACCTTGTTCAACTTCATAGTCCCTTTCCTTTTAAGAGAAGAATCCCCCCTGGCCAGGCACAGTGGCTCACGTCCATAATCCCAGCACTCGGGGAGTCTAAAGTGGGCAGATCACTTCAGATCAGGTGTTCAAGACCAGCTGGCCAACATGGTGAAACCCTGTCTCTACTAAAAACACAAAAACTGCCAGGCGTGGTGGCAAGTGCCGGTAATCCCAGCTACTCAGGAGGCTGAGGCAGAAGAATCGCTCGAACCCAGGAGACAGAGGTTGCAGTGAGCCAAGATCACGTCATTGCACTCCAGCCCGGGCAACAAGAGCAAAACTCTGTCTCAAAAAAGAAAAATCACCAGGTGCATACCTGTCAAGTTTGGTAAGTCCATCTTTTGAGTTTTCTTGTAGCTCTTTCAAAAGATTATGAGGGCAACACATAGTTTTTTGTTATTCTGCAGCCCCACATCATACTTGGGGTTGGTACCATAAGCCTATCCCTGTTGGTACCATAAGCCTAAACTCTCCCTCACTGCAATGCCTTTGAGTTAGTAGCAATAGTAAAGACTAGAAACAAAGAAGATTCAGAATTTGGTATGTGATATGATTGTTCATACGATGTTACAATAGCAATATTCCAAACAAAACGTCCTTCACTGTCTATTGTTTGAAAACTCATGCATTCCAGCATGAAGTAACTGCTAGTTTTAATTTCACTTATTTTGAGATATATTTTGAGAATTGCATCTCTTCTCTTGAATTTCATTTAGAAGATATTAACCAAATATCCAGGAAAGTTTCAAAAGATTCTAGTGTTTTCCATCCTTTCCTAGGATGCACTCTGTATAAAACATTCCTCTGGAAATCTAATATTTGTAATATCTGAGAACTGATCATTTCTATTTTCATGAAATTCTGTAAAAAACATTAAATGAATGAAATTCAACTTGGTAATGCAGTTCATCAACTTTTATATCTTGAGAATCTCAACACATTCTTTAACTCTGAAAGAAACCAAGCTGGATTTTTCAGTGCATATGTTTGCTAGCTTCCCACATCCTGAGCCATGTCACAATTTGGTTATATTTAGTTACACATAATTTAATGCAAAGAAATTCTCAGTTACTTAATGTTCTGTTTATTTATGAGTGCCTATCAGGAACACTAATAAGAATGCCATTCAACCAGTGTCTTCTCCTGCCCCTCTCCCAGCTGCTAAATTAGTACTTTCTTCTTCATTGGCTTTCTGAAATGTCCCTGGTAAAGTAGAAAAGTAACCTTTGTACAGATGCAGGGATATTTAATAGTATGTATCTTGTTTCTTTTTTTTCCTAGGGTATATTTCCAACTCCTGCTCCATTTTCTTAAAATGTTTTCCAGTTAATAACTAGTTGCTTTATTTCCTAACTGAAGTGAGAAAACAAGAGAAATGAATACAGATTTGGGCAGAGGCAATACAGTTAGATCCTTAAAGGATTCAGTCAGTCACCCAGAAGGAGAATCACATGTCTAACTAATGTAAGGGCTTGAACCTTCTTTTTCTTTTGCTAAAATTAGTCTACCAACTCTTCTTCCACCAATCTTGACATCAGACACTTAGGTGGTTGTCTGATTTTGGGATCCCAAAGCGGGGGAAAAAAAAAAACTTTTAGAAAAGTAAATGCCTTGGTTTTGTTTTATCTTCTGGGAAAGAACACTTTTACTTGATAAGCAAGATAATTACATTATATAACTTGCCCTTAAAAACACTCCAGAATGGCCAGGCACAGTGGCTCACGCCTGTAATCCCAGCACTTTAGGAGTTGAGTGGGCGGATCACAAGATCAAGAGATTGAGACCATCCTGGCCAACATGGTGATACCCTGTTTGTACTAAATATACAAAAATTAGCTGGGCATGGTGGTGCGCGCCTGTAATCCCAGCTACTTGGGAGGCTGAGGCAGCAGAATCGCTTGAACACGGGAGGCAGAGGTTGCAGTGAGCCAAGAGCATGCCACTGTATTCCAGCCTGGTGACACAGCAAGACTCTGTCTCAATTTAAAAAAACAAAAAACAAACAAAAAAAAACCCTCCAAAATACTGACTCTTTTGCTCCAATTACAAGTGAGAGAGTGAAGAAATTCTGTTGTATGACTTGAACACTGTTAGGTTTGTATGTGTGTTTAATTAGAGGAATTTTATATAGAGTATCTCTGCTTCTTTTGTTTACCTGGGTACCATACAACAAAATACACATTTCAAGATATCTCAAATGTGTATTTGGTTGATCAAAGAAATGATGATCAAAGCCAGAAGGCCAGACCACAGCTTTGTAGCCTGTTTCCTACTACCAGATGTAAAACTCTTTCTAGTCACCATGCTGATAGTCACATTGAACTAGAACTGTCCCAACACATTCTTCCTCTCTCATAGTGGCTTCCATTTAATACAGGCAAAGTCCTTTACCTTAGCAAATTCTTTATCTTTCAAAAGTGAACAAAATGAGAACTTCAACCTTGGTGGCACCTCAGTAGGAGATGCCGATCTTGAGCTGTAATGAGAAAAGTGGATGTATAGGAGATTTTAGTGACTACAGTCAGCTGTCTGGCATTCCTTTCTCAGTTTGCATCTAAAAGGCTACATATGTCAAGCTTATCTCTACCTGAATATGCTGCCTGCTATAAAAACATTTCATTAATATATCCCACTCTTCCTACCTCCGTCTCTCATTTGTCATTAGTATTCTGAAAAGCTTAAGAAAAAAGAATCATTGAGTAGAAAATGAACATTTTAAGTTATTTTCCTTTTTTCATTGACAGTAACATGTAAAATCTTTTAATAACTATATATTATATATGGGATAAAATATATGGACTGAATTGTGAGAATATAAATGCATCGAAAGACTCTGGTGTCATGAAAGCACAAGAATAAGGCTGGAGATGGTCCCAGATCCAAGATGTCCCAAAAGCCTATTGTATCAGTTTCTCTATTTTTGGTATTTTGCATAATGCATGAATCCTTAGTTCAAATGAAGGATGAAGTTTCTCAGTCAGCCCCACTTCCTTTCTTTCCAACTCCTACCTTTCCCTTGCCGAGGAGGTAGCAGATATTCTGAATTATCTATTTTTATGACTTCTGTGATTTTGTCCAGGGCATCTCTAATGAAAACAGGTTCTAGAATAAAGGAGTTGATTAGTCTGAACAGTACTAATTAACTACAAAGTAAACGTTAGTGATCAGCCTCTTCCTCTATAAACAATGACCAATTAGATGTTTCCATAATTCCGTATATTATGTATAGTACACTCTATAAATGTAAATGTAATGCTCGTCTAAAAAGTGCAATTTATTGTACATTGTCCCAACAAATGTTTACTTTTATAATTGTTATGAACTTGGATTAGTATCTTGTTTTTACGTGTGAATGAAGCCTTGTGAAATAAACAAATGCAACCGAAAAGGTAACAAGGTGACTGTTGTTGTGAGCCAGTGATGTTTTCGAGGCTTTGTGTTGCCCCTTTGGCCCCATTAAGCAGTAATAAACCTTTGTTCTGAAGTCCATGTATGTCTTTTTAATTTTTTTTTAGTTGACTTTATTCTGACTCATTTGAACCCAATGTTTATGTAACACTTCTTACACCTAACACTAGACTCCAGTCAACCTAGAAAACACACAGTATATATCCTGCAAAATGATATCCTGTACAGCACCACCACAAAGAGCCTTATTTTCCTCTCTTCTGAGGTACCTTGTTTGCAAGTAACAGAAACCCTTGAAAGCTAACTTAATAATAGTAATTTTAAGAGGCAATTAATTAAAAGGAAATAGGGTGTCTGTATATGTCCCAAAGGCTAAACACTTGGGCCTGAACTGGGACAAGGGGCTGGAATGCCATCAGGACCCCCAAAGCAACTGTTCCTGTAACTATGTTGCTGCTTGTCCTTCCAAACGACACTTATCTGCTTCATTCTTCTCTCTGAAAACAAGCTTTCTCTGCTTCTAAGTACACAGCTACCAAGTTTACACATCCTCTATTCAAACTACCAGCAGAAGACTACCATCTCAATTGTTTCAATTACAAACTCTTGAAAAAATATGATTGGTTGATCCTGGGTCAGGTACCTGCTGTTGGTCCTTCAAGGTACAGCAAGGTAGGAGATATTATATAATTCAAACCAAACTCCAGAGGTACTTACAAAAGTGGAGATAGTGTGCAGGGAATCCCAATGATGTCTCACTTGCATTTGCATTTTGTTCTGGGAATCCATGAAACCCAAGTGAAAGCCCAAGAGATTGGTCAGCTCCTCTTAGAATTCAGCATGTATTAAAAAAAATAATAATCAAAGGCTGTAAGATTATAGCTTTTGGCCCAAATCCAGACCACAGACATCTTTCATTTGGCCATGTGGTGTTTGTTTGTTTTCTGAGACGGTCTTGCTGTGTCACTCAGGCTGGAGTGCAGTGGCATGATCTCAGCTCACTGCAACCTCCACCTCCCAAGCTGAAGTGCCGCCCACCTCAGCCTCCCAAGTAGCCGTGACTACAGGCATGCACCACCATGCCTGGCTAATATTTCTATTGTTTTTGTAGAGACAAGTTTTTGTCATGTGGCCAGGCTGGTCTCAAACTCCTGAGCTCAATCTACCTGCCTCAGCCTCCCAAAGTGCTGGGATTACAGGTGTAAGCCACCATGCCTGGCCCCCACCTGGTATTTTAAACAATGAGAAATTTTACATTAAAACAATCAAAATTACTCAGAATTGCTCACTTCAACAGCACATATACTAAAATTGTAATCTACAGAGAAGATTGGCATGTCCCCTGCACGAGAATGACACACAAACTCATAAAGCAGTCCATATTTTGCACAGTCCCCAGAAGGTCATTCCTTTACCTGCTGACAAGCCCTAAGGGAACGGTATGAGTCAAAGCAAAAAGAAATTAAAATAAAAATTCAAAATATCCATTGAATTTGGCAGTTGGGAAATCATGAATAAGCTTGACATGTACTGTAACTGGGGGAAGAAGAAAGACTACCTGCAATAGACAACTGACTGAGAAATCATTTCATTTTGAAAGGAAAATTATTCCAAACTTTGGAAACAAGGCAAAAAGGTGAGTGGCATGCCCTTTTCAATGTCAAACCAGGGACTAGGAGATTGTACTTTGTTCATCTCACTGTTCACTATTGATTTACAGGTCCTACACTGAATCTACACATTAACTGGTAGATATTTTTCCAGTAAGAATGCAAATCCCTACTTCCTTTCCAGTGGAACAGGTAACACCAAAAGTTATAATTTATTACCTTGTGAGACATTAACCAGATTGTGTCTAACCTTGTCACCTTATACTAATGTTCCATTGTTAAATTGCCTATAAATACCTGGCTACTCAAATACACTCTCATTAACTAATGAGTTGAATAAAGTATTTGTTACATGTCCATTTATATTTGCATGAGAGTCTTGATTTCACCTTTTTTGTAATAATACTTTAACAAAATTTTTGATAACTGTCAAAGGAAGCCTCAGGGCAAAATCTTTTTAAAAGTTTACTTGCAAGGAAAGTTTATAATGAAATCCAGGCTTTAGAAGAACTTACCAAATAGAAATTACAACAAGTATTTAAAGGAAAAAAACTACATAACCTCCAAATTTCTAGATTCAGAATTAGTTTGTTTATGGCAGGGAAAAGCAATACTCACACTATCATGTTTTTAAACATCAGCATTGTAAAAGTTAGAGGTATTTTCTTTTGTTTGATTGACTTTAGGAAGTCTAATTTTACAGGAAAGGCTCAGGCTCAAGGTTTCATTTATATGGTGAACTAGAACTGGATATAATAACCCTGATGTGTGTGTAGTAGTGGTGTCATCATTATGTTTTTCCGGACTTTGGAAGCCAATGTACCCAATTACTCAGAACAGGAACAGGGCAAGGAGTTGGTTCTGCTTCTACATGGTAAATGCAAGGACAATTATGGGGTACAGCTAGAGAGATGCCAAATGGAGTTTGTTTTGTTGACTCTTATGGATGGGAAATTTGAGCTGTTTATAAATGCTAGCAAAACGGAGAAAAAAGAAGAGACTGGGGATAATCGCCAGCCTTGCTTAGGGGAAAGGAAAGCAGAAAGCAGATTGGGAGTCTGGTGTAATAGAATGACAGAGGGCCAAGGAAGTAGCCCAGGTATTAAGAAGAGAATGGTGGCTGGGCGTGGTGACTCACGCCTGTAATCCCAGCACTTTAGGAGGCTGAGGCATGAGGTCGAGATCAAGACCATCCTGGCCAACATGGTGAAACCCTGTCTCTACTAAATATACAAAAATGAGCTGGGTATGGTGGCGTGTGCCGGCAGTCCCAACTATTCGGGAGGCTGAGGCAGGAGACTCACTTGAACCCAGGAGGCGGGGGTTGCAGTGAGCCAAGATCACACCACTGCACTCCAGCTGGCGACAAAGTGAGACTCCTTTATGAGCTTCATGGCATAAAAAAAAAAAAAGAGAGAGAGAATAGTAAAATCAATGATCATACAAATAGCTTTTTAGGCCAATAGAAAAGAACAGAAATTCCAAAGGACTGCACAAAGTCACAGAGCATTGATGAGGCTGAAAATAGGCAGGAATTAGGGAGTAGGAGTGCTGGAAAAAACAGAAAACCACCTTCAGAACATGGGCTTTTAGAGTTTTGGATTTTGGAGATGGGCAGCTCTATGGCATGGTAAGACCTAAGACGTGGTCATGGGTGTAGGTGGCCAAGTAACAAAGCCAGAGCTAGTATTTACAGAGTGCTTACTATTTTTAGGGACTATGCTATGTGGTTTTATGTGAGTATCCTGAATTTAATTTTCCAACAATGTTATTAGGTATTCCAGTCCCCATTTAGACATAAGAAAAGATAGGCTTCTGAGATTTTAAATAACTAGCCCCTCTAGTGTGAAGCCTGGATGTAAATATGTGTGTATGTGTGTATATATACACACACACAGGTATATGTATGTGTATATGTGCATGTATGTGTTTTTATATATAAATATAGCTATATATATACAAATATAGCCATATATATATATATATATAGAGAGAGAGAGAGAGAGAGACCGACCCAAATCACAGCTAATAAGTAGAAACTATTTGAAATCAAGAATCTAATGCCATTACTTAACATCCAGGGCTTGCTTCCAAAGCCTTCCTAATAACAATCATTTAAGGGCATATTAAAAATAGATTACCAGGTCTGTTAAACTCACTAAAGCAGTATTTACCGATTGCCTACGATGCCAGTCTCTATTCCAAGTGCTAGAAATGAGGTGAACAAAGAGATCCTGCCTCTGTGAAGCCTGAACAGTAGTGCAGCTCTCAACCTCAGTGCTGTTGATATGTTGGGCCATACATATGATTGCTGTAGTTTGAGGGCAGGGTGCTCTGTGCATTGTAGGATGCTTAGAAGAGTCTCTGGCTTCTACCTCTTAAATGCCAATAGTATTTCCCCAGCAGTGACAACTAAAAATGTTTTCCAGACATGGCCACATGTATGAGGTTGCAGGGGAACAAAATATCCACAATTGCCCCCAACTAAGAATGACTGCTACAATAGGAAAAAGACTAACACATTTCAGGTGGTAATAAGTACTATAAAAAAAAACAGCGTAAGAGGGTACAGAGAAATGGTAAGGCTGGCAAGCATAAAATTGGTTGGTACACATCATGATGGCTTTTGATACGTAAACCTGGCGTAGCCCACTAAGTGTGGTGACGGTATTTTGCATGCGCAATTAAAGCCCTTACTTAGTTCACTTCCAGTAAAAGAAGATTATCCTGGATAATCTAGGTGTGCCTGATTCAATCAGTAGGAAGGCCGTAAAGGCAGGGCTGAGGTTTTCCTGAGAAAGTAGTTCCTTCCACTCTGCTTGTGTTCTTCCCTCTTTGACTTTCTGTGGATGAAAGCTTCAGTCTGTTCTCATGGGACACGGCCTGCCTATGATCTTCCAGTCCTGTCTGCCTGGCCTACAGAGTTTGAACTTCCTTAGCCAATTCCCAGCATTGTGTAAGCCAATTCCTTGTTATAAATATCTATTTACCTCCTACTGATTTTCCTTCTCTGATTGAACCTCAACTAATATTGTCTGGAAAAGCCTCCCTTCGTGTTACTTTTGAAAGGCCTAAATAGAGTGAAGAAACGATCTGTGTGATGAACTGGAGGAGGATTACAGGTAGAGGGAAAGCCAAGTACAGACTTGGAGGCAAGAGCAAACCCACTGGGTTCAAGGAATAACAAAGATGCCAGTGTTTAAATCAGGGAGGGGGAAGGAAGAGTGGCGAGAGATGAATTCTGATACAAAGCTCATAAAGGTGAGATATAAGATATGTAAAACACTAAAGTTCACAGTAAGGAGTTTGGACTTCATTCTAAGCCTAATAGGAAGGGGTTAGAGGTTTTAAAGCAAAGGAATATAATCATCTGAAAAGTTATGTCCAGCTGCTATATGGAAAACTAACTCTAAAGGTACAATAGGGAAGCAGGGAAACCAGTTAGGAAGCTAAAATTTCAGACAAAATGATGACGGCTTGGACTTGGGTGTGTAGGGTAAGAAATATCTTTTCCTTCTACCCATTTTAGGCTCATTGGCTGGGGATCCCATAACAAAAGACAAATTAACAAGAGAAAAGCATAAATATTAATGTTAGTTTAACATAACATGGGAAACTTTAGAAATGAAGACCCAAACAGTTAACTTTAGTGTTGTTTAGAGTAGGTTTGATGAAGAATAGAGAACTGTGGGAAAATGTAATGGGGCTAAAAGACTGTGATCTAAGGGTAATAAACTGGGAGAAATTTAGTAAGACCTGATGTTCATATTCGTCTCTATGTCCCTGTGTTTTCAGAGATATAGATGTTAATTTACTTCCAGGTATAGAGAGGGCCACTCTCACATGAGGGTATTACGACCTGCTTCAGGGCAGAAGGGTGCAAGAAAGTTGGAGACATTCCTGCATATGTTCTTTCTCAAATTCCTTCAGTTTATTCAATATGTCTATGTGCCATATTTTGGGATTACATGTCCCAAACCCTGTCAGGTGGCAGCAGTAGAGGTTGTGTGAAGTCGCTTAATTCGCTACATATTTTGAAGATTAAGCCAGTAAGGGTTGCTATAAGATGTACTTGAGATAGAAGACGCAGGTATAAGCAATTAAGACTGAGCAGACTCAGCCTGAGCAATTAAGAGAATGAGGTGACTGTTCACTGCATTAGGTCAAGCTTTCACTCCGTGCAAAGGGCTATTTGTTTTTATGCACTTAGTAATTCCAGGCTACTGGTTGGACACTTAAAAAAATTATACGATAAAATACACAGCTCTTAGGAAGTTCATCTCATGAACTTTGACAAATCTATGCAACAGTGTAACATTTTTATTACCTTGGAAAATTCCCTCCCTGGGCCTTAAGTATAATCTACATTAGAAACTACGTACATAAAAGTAAGTTTACAACTCAATGAGATTTCTAAAGTGAACACACCTATCTATAATCGGTGTCCAAGAAACATTACCTGAACCCCAAAGGCCCCCTGGTGGCTCTTTCATGTCATTATCCTCCACACTATGCTCATTAACACCATGGGCTAATTACTTTTGCTGTTTTTAGACTTACGGAACCACATAATATAAACTCTTCAATGTCTGGCTTCTTTCCCTTAAAGCCATTTTTTCTGTGTGAAATTCACACGTTGTATTTCGGTAATTTATTTTTGTACTGTAGTTCCGGTTCTTTACTACAGATAATGGTCAACTTCCATTTTCCTAACAGCTTTTTTCCTTCTCTGAGCATTCTAATCGCTGCTTTGGACGATCTATAAAGCTGAGTGCGGGCTATGTGACCTCTCAGGGGTTTTCAACTGTGTTGTTGACATCTTGAGCCTGCCAAAGACTAGAGTAATCTGAAATCTAGGCTTCTCTGGGGAGTGGCACGGTTAGAACCAAAGAGGGCCAGGCGCGGTGGCTCACGCCTGTAATCCCAGCACTTTGGGAGGAGGAGTTGGGCGGATCACAGGGTCACCAGATCGAGACCATCCTAGCTAACACAATGGAAACCCCGTCTCTTAAAAAAAACAGAACCAGAAGAGAACATTGTCCCCAGAAGACATTTCAGCATTTTCTTTGAAGGTCAACAGGCTCACTTATACCGAACCTAAACCCAGGTGAGAACAATGGACTCTTGAAATGGTCGGTGAAAGGGGAGAAAGCACCCGGAAATTGTGCTTCAACAGTCCACGACATAAAGGAGAGACTGAAACTGTAGCCACAGGACAGCTCTTATGTTAGCGCCTTGATCTGGGATTCCGCCACTGGGCGCGGTCACGTGGCCAACGCAGCTACACCTCCTACCGCGGCACGTGATGACGCCACCACGTCGGAGAGGTTAGACCTTGGTGACGTCTCCAGTGCACCAAACTCTCTGCAAATCAAACCGCTCCTTTCAGAAGCCCTCCACGCTTAACACGTCCGTTCTTTCCCGTTTGAACGTAGCCAGGCTGCTCCTTCTCCCCATTTTTGCCTTTTCCTCGCGGAGGCTGAGAAACTGGCTTTACACAACATGGCTGCCTGGCGGGTCTGGTGTCATAGAGCGGACGGAAGCAAGTGACTGTGTACTCAACTTCCGACTTGGACTCCGAAGTTCGGTACGTTATTTCCGGGGCTGGGTTAAGGCAGCGGTTCTGAGCTGCGACTGCGCAGCCTGGCCCAGCACGGTGAAATTATAATGCACACAGTTGTTGGGGCAGAGAGGATGACAGTACTCTTCTCTATCTGCCAGTTTTCTCGCGATACTTAAGGGTTGCTAGGAGACTCAGTGGGAGGGCGGAGCCAGACTCGACGGGGCGGGAAGGGGCGGGGTAGGGGTCCGCGGGGAGGGGAGAGGAGGGGCGGGGCCAGGCTCGGCGGGAGGTGCGCTCTTGTGGTGGGCGGTGGCGGCGACGGCCTCGCGAAGGTTCCAGAGCCGCCGCGTGCGGGAGGCGGGCCGCGATCTCGCGCAGGGTCGGTGTGCGCGCAGGTTGCGGCGCTGCGACTAGTGCTGGTGGGCGTCTGCGCTCGGTTTGAGGGCTCCGCGCGGCGTTTCCCGTTCCCTCCTCTGCGCGGGTGCAGCTCGGGCCTTGGGCCTGACCCAGCCTCCATGGCTTCGGAAGAAGTAAGTGGTCCGAACCCATTTTCCTAATGCCCTCCGGGCCGGAGCTGCAGCGCCGGCCTCCCGCCCCACCGCCGTTTCCTTGCGCTGAGCCGCCCTGCGGCGACCAGGTCTCGCGGCAGTCGGCGCGCCCTCCCCGGGTGGTGGGACGCTTCCCCGCGCTTCTCTTCGGCCCCGCACCCCACTCTCCTGTCGGGCCTGAGCGAGGGTGCGCGGCGATTCTCCGTGCAGGCGGTGCAGGGAGTGGGTCTGGGAGAGCGGCCCGCTGCGCTTGTTCCTCAGGCCCTTTCTGCTCTGGTTTCCCAGCCGGAGGACTGGAAGCTTCATTCAGCTAAAGCTGGGTGCAAACGTGAGTGTCGTTGATGGTAGAGGGCGGTCGGAAGGTGAGAAGTTCTTGGTGCTAGCACTTGAATTCTCTTAGTCATGTTTTCTCTGCACACGACGAGCCGTGTTACTCTGGGCAAGTTGTTTAGCTTCTCTGTGTCTCAGTAGCATCTATTTCACAGGGTTGTTAAAAAGTGTGATTTCTAGGTGTTTAAGCCGGTGCTTGGCAAACAGCACTATGCTGTCTGCGACTTTTACAATAAATAACTTGGAAAGTTAGTTGTGATTGATAGAAATCGAATGGCCTGTGTTAAAGCTCTGTCAACTCTGGTCGTTGGAAAATTAAGTTCTATGGAGACTTAGTTTGCTCAGTTAGAAAATGATAATGAGAGTACTTGTATTGCTCATTGCCTGGCTTAAGGGGGAGGTGAAGACCGGACAGTTATTCAGTTTAGTGTTGGGTGTGTGTTAACTAGATTTGATTTATGAAAACAAGTACTGGGAAATCCCAGGCTTTTTTTTTTTTTTTTTTTTCTCCTCCTCAAAATGTTTTCTTCAAATGAAGAAAAACTGTGAGGTTTGTGTGTTTTAGTATTAATCTGGATATCTTGTGACAAGTCTGTTAAGGTAGGTATTGGGTACCATGTGCCCTGAGGAGAGGACTTCCCAGTCACGCATATGGAGAATTCAAGTTTTTAACCATTTTGAAGTGTACAAGTCAGGTTTGTTTGTTTGTTTTTGGTATATTCACAGTGTAGTGCTTGTTTGTTTTTGGTATATTCACAGTGTAGTGCAGGCATCACCAGTGTCTAAACAATTGCTTCCCATTCCTCCCTTAGCTCCTGACGACTACTCATCTTGTACTTGGTCTCTGAATTTGCCTATTCTAGGTATTTCATATAAATGGAATTACGCTGTATATGGCCTCTTGCTTTTTGGCTCCTTCAGCTTAGCACTAACATTTTCAAGTTCATCCGTAATGTAGCATTTATCAGTACACATGCTCTTTATGGCTAAAATTCTTTCTCATGCGTATGGCACATCGTGTTTATCCTTTCATCAGTTGATGGACACTTATTTCCACTTCTTTTTTTGAGAAGGAGTCTCGCTCTGTCGCCCAGGCTGGATGGCACAATCCTGGCTCACTGCAACCTCCACCTCCCGGGTTCAAGCGACTCTCCTGCCTCAGCCTCCTGAGTAGCTGGGATTACTGCCGCACTCCACCATACCCAGCTAATTTCTGTGTTTTTAGTAAAGACGTGGTTTCACCAGGTTGGCCAGGCTGGTCTCGAACTCCTGATTTCAAGCGATCCGCCTGCCTGGGCCTCCAAAGGTGCTGGGATTACAGGCGTGAGCCATGGGGCCCATGTCCGGCCTTATTTCCACTTCTTGACTAGCTGCTGTGAGTAATGTGTACAAGTTTTTTGGGTGGACGTTTTTTCGGTTCTCTGGGGTATATACCTAGGAGTGGAATTACTGGTTCATACGGTAACTTTTTGAGAAACTTAAAACTATTTCCAGAGTGGTTGCACCATATTCCCACAAATAATGTTTGAAGCTTCCAGTTTCTCCACATCCTTGTCAACATTTGTTGTTTTCTGGGATGTTTTCTTTTTCTTTTTTGGTTTATGATACCATCCTAGGGGGTGTGAAGTGGCATCTTCGGAATTTGATGAGGATGTTGAGCATCTTTAATGTGCTTGGTGTCCATTTCTGTGAGAAATGTATGTTGAATTCCTTTGCCCATTTTTGAGGCACACTGGTGTTAATGCCTCCTAGGTGAAGAATTAGGAAATAGATAAAGCTTGAATTATGGGTAGGGATAAAAGGGAAATCGAATTTTTATATAGGTGAAACAAATACATGCCAAGGCCTCAAGGAAAACTGCATGATAAACTAGATGAGAAACTATCTAGGACATGTTAAAGGATTTGTGCAGAAAGGTTTCAAGTCTGCAAATAGCAGAACTGAGGAACCATTTCAGTTGTGAGTTTCTTCAGTGCATACCTTACAATAAAAAGATTACAGCCAAACTGGCAATAAAGAGGCTTGGGAATTCAGCCACTGGGGGAATCTCTTGCCTAATTTGAAGTACTTTTCTGATTCCGCTGGAAAAAGCATTCCTATTCAGTCAAAAAGCAAAACCTCTTGTTTAGGTTTGTTACATTTCATTTTACATTTCAATATTTATATTATGAATTAGGAATTTTAGAATCAGCATGAATTTTTGAAACTATTACAATAAAAATATTACTTTGAACTGAAACATCTTAGTTCTAGTCTCAAAAGATGAGTTTGCAAAATTTTTCATCATGGTAATATGAACTGTTCTTGGAAGGGTCTGAATGTGTGGACAAGAGGGTGGGGCAGAGTTGAATTTTTTTTTTTTTTGAGTGGGGGTTTTGTTGTCCAGGCTGGAGTGCAGTGGCGTGATCTTAGCTCATTGCAACCTCTGCCTCCTGGGTTCAAGTGATTCTCCTCCTTCAGCTTCCTGAATAGCTGGGATTACAGTCATGTGCCACCACGCTGGTTAATTTTTTGTCTTTTTAGTAGAGACAGGGTTTGGCCATGTTGGTCAGGCTGGTCTTGAACTCCTGACCTCCAGTGATCCACCCCCCAAAGTGCTGGGATTATAGGTGTGAGCCACTGCACCTGGCTAGAGTTGAACTTTTTTTTTTTTTTTTTTT